AAATTTTTTCAAAAAAAAAAATTTAAAAAAAAAAAAAATTTTTTATCTTTTTTTTTTTTTTTAAAAAAAACCTTTTTTGTTGTTTTTTTTTTTTTTTTTTTTTTTTTTTTTTTTTTTTTTTACTATAATTAATTATAGATATTTCTCCTGTACTTGAAGTACATTTTGATATTGTTGCTTTTAAATTGTATATAGATTTTTTTTTTTTTTGGCTAATATATTAGATTTAGTCTATAAAAGATAAAGGATTAAAAAGTAAAATTTTAATACAATAGAAATAATAGGCTTTCGCACGGATAGAGAAATAATTCTTTTTTATTTTATTTTTATAACAACCTAATACAAAAAGCAAGATAATATAATTATCCGAATTTGAGAAATAAATAATTTTCTGAGAAAATTATTTTTAAAAATACAATTTTCTTCCTCAATTTCTAACCGAATTTAAACAAATCAAATCATCCAATTCTTTATTCATTAGATTTTTTTTTTTTTTACTGCAACCAAAAAAATTATCCATTATTTAAATTGTAGTTTATCACGACCAATAATTTAATAAATTTTCTTTCAAATATGTCCACCGACGAACAGCAGATACCATCAACATCTACAACAAAAGAAATCCAATATGAACAATATGAAATTGAAAATGGTGGTTCCGACAGGGTACATCAAAATTTACAAGAAGTACAACAAGAAGAAGATATGCAAGTAGAAGCACAAAAAGAAGAAATTCAAGAAGTAGAAGCACGAGAAGAAGAAGATATGCAAGAAGAGGCGCAACAAGAAAAAGTATATGATTATGTACAACAGCCAATAGCTTCTTCTTCAACAGCCGAATCATCAAATCATACATTGCGTGATGATAATTTGGAACAACATAATCCTGCGATGCAACGTCTTAATAGACGTGGCATACCGATAACCTATTCAAAACTTTCAGACCGGTATACTTTCTCATTTTCTGCTGATTTAATATCCCAGGTATGTACAAGTCGAATGTTAATGTATGCTATTCAAAAATGTTAACTTTTTATTAAATCATCAGTTAACGTCCTTATATATATATTTTTTTATTATTCCCCTTTATAGTTCGATAAATATCGAGCACATATGCGGGAAAGTATACAGCAGGAATTAGATGTAAAGGCGAGTATATATATATGATGAGATTCACTATGAGAGGCGATATATTAATACTTTCGTTCATCTTTACAGAAAATTTACGCAGAGTCTGATAAGAATAAAGAAGAAATATTTAGTATACATCAAGTTCATCATGGGCCTGCAGCATCTGTACATTCAAATTCACAAGAGGCATCAACAAGAAACAGATCGACAGATGACGCACCAAAATCTTGTTTACCGACAAAATCTTCAAATAAGCATAATCGTGGAAAGTCTTTTAGAATTTCATTTTTGCGTGGCAAGGCGTCAAAAAATCAAAATCAAAATCAAAATCAAAATCAAAATCGGAATGCGACAACAATCACAACAACTACGGCAACTTTGTCAGATCTTGATACCTTATCATCAGACGTTGAACGACAACGTTGTACAGAATCCGATTTTGCAATTAATCAAAGGAGACATAAATCAAGATTGACATTTATCAAAAAATTACCATTTGTTTCAAGTTGTGCTGGTAATGATGAATAATAACCGTAATGTTGATTCATCGTTATTTATTTATTTATTTATGTATTATTATTATTATTATTTCATTCTTATTACTATTATTATTACTATTATTTTTTATAATTTTTATATAGGGTACTTATGAGCATTTGTACTTTTGCTATTAATTGTTAGAAAAATATCGACCATTTTTGTAATTTTGTCTGTCGTAATTTTATTTATTAATTTCCCCTTAATTTACTCTAATTTTATTCAGAAATTTCGCGCCAAAAAATTATTCATTAGTTTCGATGTTCATTTCACGTTAATTATACATTCATACATTTATTTTTTAATTATCACAAACACAAATCACAAACACCAACAAAAAAAAAAAAAAAAAAATAATCTCTAAATAAATTCAAAAACTACCTATTTTAAATGAAATTCAAAGACATTGATAATGGATTTTCGGAATGTTTACACGTGATACTGATATATCGCTTTAATGCATGTCAAAAGTTGAGATTTAAAGTTTTACGCCAATTGTCATGATAATAAAACTTTATAATTGTCAGAATCTTGTTTGTTTGTTTGTTTGTTTATAACCATAAATTCTTTACCAAAATGCATATGTATAAAAAGATAAATAGATAGATCAAATGTTACTCAATATTCATAGAATACTCGGATATTGAATATATTCGCAAATTCTCAATAAATTATCTAAGGATCCATGGCCAGATTTAGAACCTTACTTCCTGAATTTATTTAGCATATGCTTCACGCGACATCTCTTTGTTACGTGAAGTTGTAACAGTTTGCAGTTGACAAAAAATGGAAATGACTCCTCAATTCTATCTTTGAATTTTTCGCTATCAATAATATCTATATCTTAGAAATCAAAGCATTTGGGCAGAATCTTAATCATTGTGAACCAAAGATCTTGGCTTTGGTATTGAGATTAATATTATAATTTAAAGGCTATTCAAATAAAATTTTTTACTACGGAATTTTTAAAAAATTGTATTATACAGTATGAAAAAAGGCTGGACTTTATAAAAACAATTAAATTATAAAATTAAAATATTTTATTAGTGAATAGGATCATGTGTAACATAAATTATATAAATGATGACATTAAGTTTGATTTTCGTATATAATTTATACTTTAATTATAAGCTAACTTACAGTATATGGTCAAGGATCAATTAATTAAACAAATAAATAAATTTCAAATCTCAGCTTCTTCGGTTGATTTGATCCATTTTTGAATCTATAAATGGGTTGATTGCTAGGAAAATCAGGTTCCGGGAATTTTTTAGCTCTTAATTTTAGTCAAAAATTTTTCGGAACCTGATTTTCCTAGAAACACTCCCAAATTATCAAGATTTTATTTTATAAAATAAATATTACAAATGTCAAGACAAGTGTGTATCTT